CGGGGGAAACAACAATGCACTATGTGAAGATGGCTTAGAGGTCTGCATAAAGTACACACTTTTTCAGTTTTTGTTGCCACCCCTAACAATGATGGTAGAAAATAATGGTCTATAGCGTATTTGCAGTGGTTATGAGCTGATGTGCATAAAAAAATCCAGTTGCAAAAAAAAACAAAAACAAGGGATATTTGTAGACTTATTTGCAGATGTTCACCTAAACAATCACACAAAATGACAAAATGAAAACCAATTTGACTAAGGTACTTCAAAGGTCAAGGCATTATTAGGAATGGCTCATGGCACTCCGGGAAATCAACACATGAAGCATAATCAAGATATAAAAGAGTTCAGAAAATGAAGGTCGGAAAAGACGAATCGTACTGTCAAAAGTTGATGGGAGCACAGGTGTCCACCATGGTGAATACAGATCAGTGGGCTTTATCCTACTGCTTCTGCTGTAAGTATCTACAGAGAAGTGTTTTGAGATATTAGTAAGGGAAGAAAGTGAGACATAAACATCATGTGTTATAATCTACGAATACATATGCATTGTAAGGCATCTTCTTAGACGATATCTAGCTTCAACCAAAATAGAAGACATAAGTGCATAATGCTATAAGCTACTCTAGTTGCACATTAATGGGTTGGATTCAAACTTTCCTTCCCCAATCAAATAAAGGAACGGAAAGCAAATGCAAAACAGTGGATGACTTGGAAAAAGGGCCAAGTACTAAATGACAGTGCAAAGAAACCAAAGCAATACATGATATGAAAGAATGGTGTATCAAAATACTAAATGCTAAATGAGAAGGAAAACTCATCCAAATTAAAAAAACGAAAGCAAATACTCCTTCCGTCCCGGTGTTGTTGTCCACTTATCCTTTTTGGTCTATCCCACTGCTTTTGTCCCCCTTCCTTTTTTAGTATGGCTCAAAGATCCCTATTGTCCATTTTACCCCTCACAAGTCACCACCTTCAACACACACCCACACACACTCTCTCTCTTCTTGAATGAACGTTAGCCACAAATCATTCGGTGAAACCTCCTCCCATGAAGTTTCTTCAACCTCTCTTTCATCTCCAATTCTCTTTCTTTCAACCCTTTTGGTCAGACCAGCATGTCATCTGGTGAAACCTCCTCTCTGAGTCCTCCGGTGAAACCTCTTCATTGTGGTGGTCGCCAGGCAGAGTTTGATCTACCTGGTTCTTCCTCTTCATCATGATGGAGTTCGTCCCAGCCAATCCTTTGGTAAAACCTCCTCCACTGATGGTCAACAGATCAACAGATGCTTAAGTAAAAAAAGGGCGTCTTTGGGTGAAGTTTCTATCACAATGAAGTTGAATTGCAAATACACTGGGAATGGTTGATTTTTTCCACATCTGGGAATGATTGAATTCCCCCACCGCTGAAACCTCATCCGCATAAAGGCGGTCCTTTTTTTACTTAGTTATGCAATACTCTGTAATTGACACCCAAACATAGGGGTAATTAGGGCATATGTCCCCTTACATCATTGTCATTGGTTCTTGCGCCAAAAAGAAACTGGACAAAAGACCAGGACAGAGGGAGTAAATCCAAATAAAAAGGGTTGGACTTGTGTGACCTGAATTTGTAAGTACACTCCCAAAATGCATCAATGTTAATCTGAAGGACAAAAGATTCTTAATTATTCTTTTTTAAATAAATTTGGATGCCTTTATAAGGACATAGAGGAGAGGGGTGGTGATAAGCAAGTTTTTCGGCTAGCTAAGGCACGGGAGGAAAGCCCGAGATCTAGATTTTGTGAGATACATGAAAGCCAATGATGGTAGAGTGTTGTTTGAGACTGCAGAGGTTGCTAATCGATAGGGGGAATACTTTTGTGGCCTCTTAAATGCGGGAGGAGATTCGAGGCTTGAACTAGGTGAGCTGGGAGAATTTGGGTATTGTCGGCGCATTAGTCATGAGAAGGTGGCTCGGGCCTTCCGCGAATGCATAGTGGGAGAGCTTTGGGGCCACATGGGATTCCGGTAGAGTTTTTGAAGCATGTGGGTCGCGGTGGGTTGGCAAGGTTAACAAAGCTCTTCAATGTTATTTTTAGGATGCCTGACGAGTGAAGGGAGAGCTTGTTGGTCCCTTTGTTTAAAAGTAAGGGTGATATTCAGTGTTGCGAGAAGTATAGGGGCATGAAACTGCTTAGCCACACCATGATAGCCACACCATGAAGTTTGGGAACGAGTCATTGAGTATAGGCTGCGAAAGGGGGTGCGCATTTCTGAAAACCATTTTCGTTTCATGTTTAGAAGATCGAGGCCTTTCACCTCTTACGGAGGTTGGGCTAAGAAGAAGAATCTTCATATGGTGTTTATTGACCTTGAGAAGGCAAATGATATGATGCCAAGGGAGGTCCTGTAGAGGTGTCTTGAGTCGAGAGGAATTCTGATCACTTACACTTGCGCAATCAAGGATATGTACGACAGGTCAAGGACTAGCTTAAAGAATGCCGGGGTGACTCTGAGCCTTTCTCCATAGAGGTGGGGTTACACCAGGGGTCAGCCTTTAGCCATTTCTTGTTGGCGATAGACGCCCTGTCATAGGGAGTTCAAGAAGAGGTTCCGTGGTGCATGTTTTTTGCTGATGATATTGTGCTTATTGATGACACCCATGAGGGACTAAACGACAAGTTGGAACTCTTTGGCGCCTTTCCCGAGAATCTAAAAGACTCATACTGAGTAGGACTAAGACTCAATACATGGAATGTCACAAAACCAAGAGTGGTAGAATTGATTCTCACCCTGTGTCCAAGGTTGACAAGTTTTGGTATCTTGGCTCGATCATTGAGGCAGCTAGAGAGTTGGATGGGGATGTTGCGCATCGTGTGGGAGTGGCTTGGGCCAAGTGGATGTTGGCTTCAGGGGTTCTGTGCGATAAGAAGATTTCAACTAGGATGAAAGTCAAGTTCTACCGCTCCGTAGTCAGACTAGCTATGCTATATAGCGCGGAGTGTTGGGCAGTTAAGAAAACCCACATTCGTCGTTTGCATGCTACGGAGATGCGAATGTTACAGTGGATGTATGGGCCTACGAGGTTGGATATGTTTCTAAATGAGGTTATCCGAGGTTGGATAGGATTCTGAATGAGGTTATCCAAGGTTGGGTGGGCATGGTACCTGTGGAAGATAAGTTGCGGGAAGCTAGGTTGAGGTGGTTTGGGCATGTGAGGCGGCGAGATGATGGTGCCCCAGTGCGGAGATGCGGTCATTGGTCATCTAAGGCTTATGCTGGTGGGTGGGAGTAGGGGAAGGGGTACACCTAGAAAGAATTGGAAGGAAGTAAGTAGACAAAACTTAGGACTTCTTTCCCTTACCGAGGATATGACCTTAGATGAAAGCGTTTGGAGAGCTAGTATTAGAGTAGTTGGATAGGCACCTTGAACTTGGGGTAGTCTCATGTACTTGTGTGCTTTATATGCCTGTTGTGTGCTTTATATGCCTTGTATGCTTGGTGCTCGTTCATTGCATTACTTTTCCTTCGTTAGCTCTACTTTGTTCCTTACCGGTATGTGTTATGTGTTTTGTCATTGCTTTATGTATCCCTGTGATTGATTTAACTACGCACCTTGAGTCTGGGGTCTCTTGGAAATAGTCTCCCTGCTTTTGAGTAGGAAAAGGGTCTATATACACACACCCTCCCAGACCCTACTCTCGTGGGATCCAACTAGGTTGTTGTTGTTGGATTCCAAGCTTTGCAACAATATTCCTATGCCCCTTAAACCCCACCCCAAGAGCCTTAGAGGAGTTAAATTGGGAATTCCTGTCCCTCATATTCTCATGTAGCATATACGCTCCTGCACAAAACGACTCATCCCACACTGAAGTTTCCAAGGTAGTGTTTGGCAACTAAGATTTCATTTCAATTCATGTATTTCAATTCCAAAATTTGAAATCTTGAATTTCAAATCCAAATTCAAAATTTGTAAGTTTGCCAAACATAGAATTTGAGCCAAATCCGGATTTGAAATCCAAATCCATGTTTCCAAACATACCATAATTGATTTCGCTGATTCGGTCAATGGTCATTGGTCAGCATCAGGTTCTCAGTCATTCCTAGTATGCCCGAGTTTTTTCATATTGCCTCTGAGAGTGAGGCATCCGCAAATAATCTGCCAAGGAGCTTGCACCAGGGACTATGGGTTCAAAATTACCCCTAGAGCCCTAGAGGAGTTCAATTTGGAACTCCTTTGTCCCTTGGATTCCAACGAAGCTTATACGCTCCTGCGCAAAACGACTCATCCCGTACTGATTAGTCAGTTTCTAACTACAACAACCCAGTTGGATCCCACAGGAGTTTGCACATACTCTAATTAAATTTGCTGATTCGGCCAATGGTCAACATCAAGTTCTCAGCTGCTTCAGATTCCTAGTAAATACGAGTTTGAATGTTGCCATTGAA